GTCTCTCTCTCTCCCTCCTGACCACCTACTATTGCTGCCCCTGGGGGCCGAGAGCTCCTAAACTCCCGCTGAAGCAAAGACAATAAGCAGAGGCCAGATCTGGTGCCTTCAGAGGGGGCTCCACCCTGAGAGTAAACCAAGCAGAGTTTTGATCGCCTTTCAAAACTTAAGCTCATGATTTCCAAGCTCCAAGCAGTGCAGTGTTGCAGATAGGGATGGGCTACTGAGTCATTTGGCTCAGGGGAAGTATCAGCAAAATTGTAGAGAACCAAGGCAAGGCAGAAAGAAGAAAAAACCGGGTGATGGTATGCTTCCCCTCCCGTGGCCTCTCTCTGCACATGGCGTCAGCATCCCTGGGAGCAAAAGCCTCTGAAAGAAAATGGCTGGGATTGACAAAAATACAATTAAACCTTGAGTGATTGCATTGTAAACGACCCACTGGTCCCTTGGTAAGAGCCGGCGTCGTCTTCTAAAAGGGGATGTCATCTTCTGAAAGGTGGATGCATCCATGGGAGAGAGGAGTTGTCCAGTGTAGGTTTTGGGGTGCAGCCTCCTTGGTGCACCGGTAGAGTAGAACTGCCGGCGCTGGAAAGGAAAGAAAAGCAGGTCTCTGACCCCCGAGACCAGGTGGGTCCCACTGCGAGAGTCTACGGGCAAATAGCAAGCCTATGGGGTGCATCTTTGGGTGAGACTCTCCTCTAAGAGGGTGTGTTAATGCTGTAGCAAAGCAAGCAGGAAAACTAATTGTATTGTATATAAAGTGGCTTTCTCTTGACAGCTGCAGATGGTTGGAGACAGGGCAGGGAGAGGTGTCTGGAGAGCTTCAGAAGCAGGAAATGAACTGAAGAGCTTCCCTGCATAGTGGGACCTCTGTCTTGTCACCCCCCCCCCAAAAAGGAAAGAGGCTGAGTAGAGTCTCACTGACTCAAACCCAGGAGGATGGTTTCTGAGGCAAGAGAGGGGCCTAGGGCCTTAGAGAGACAGCCTGCACGGGAGCAGCCCTCAAAAGAGGCAGCTGAAGCTAGGAGCTGAGTTGCTGGATCCTAATATTAAAGGAGAGCTCCAAGCAGAGAGCATCATGTTTTGACACCAGCCCTATGTGCTTGCATGAGTGTTGGGCTCAGCATGGAGAGGAGATTTGGCTTGTCCAGTGACCGTAAGTAAATCACCGGTCCTGAGCAGCCCTCCATCTTCCAGTCTGAGATGGGGATAGCGGCCAAACGGACCTGCATTGCGTAGTTCCCCAGGTTATAGCCAGGCACAGCAAGGTCTTTGCATAGCAGGGACTAGAAAGAAACTGAGGTGCTGACTGTTCTTTACTCAAAGCCATTGGAGAGCAGGGCGAGGAGCAAAATACTGAGCGGTAGATTGGCTGATGGCTACTGAAAGGCTCTGCGAGATGAGCTCTCTGCAGTCAGAGACAAAAATGAGTCGAGAGAGAGCATTGATGACTGAGTAGAAAAGGGAACCAGAGTCAGAAGTCACAGCACGGCAGGGATAAAACATCCCGGGATGACAAGGACAGCAGAGACGCAGAGCGGACGGGAGGAACGAGGAGGGGTCAGGGAGAGAATCGCAGAGGAAGAGAGCCTGAATTTTTCAAGCAAACGAGTATCAAGAGGTCAGCCCTGGAGGCAGCAGCCCTTGGAACGGCAGGGGGAATCAATGTCGCTCTAGGCATCGCTAAAACAGATGGGAGGCATTAACTGCCTGTGGCCAGTGTCTGTCCTGGGAGGGCTCCGAGCCCCGCGCCTCCACGGGCAGGAGTCAGCATGCTCGGGGGCAGACGCTAGAAACAGATGTACGTTCCTCAGGAAGGGGAAGAGGAAGTGAGCATCGGAGCTCTCCCCAGGCAGACAGGTCTGTTCAAATTACTCTCCCAGTGGCCAGAAGCAGGCACCAGCCTTTGCATGAAAGCGGTGCTGCGGCAACAGAGCTGCCCTCCCATAGGCACGGAAGGACCTGGGTCGACTTCTTCCCTCTCCTGTTTCCTGTGTCACCCTGGGTTGGCACAGATCCTGCAAGGAAACTGCAGCCGATTAGTATGATTACCCCCGGTGACGAGATGGGCAGATAGTATATGGAAGGGCGCAACTGGCTTTTGTTATTCTCCAGCATGCAGTTAGACTGCAGTAGACGTGGCGTTGTGCTAGGCGGTTTCACGCTTCCAGAATAACAAGCTGCAGATTCTCTTTTTTCTTCAGCTAAATAACTTAGGGATGTGTTTTCCCTGTTCACTGCCCCCTGCTCATTAAATGTAACTGATCCTTTTAAGAAGGTAAAAGTTATGCTGGATGATTTGGGGTGCCCAGTTTAAACCCTCTTCAAAGACCCTGATTTCTAAGACGGGCATGATTCTCCCCCTGCCCATCCTCTGAAAACTAGGCTCCTTTGCAGCATATCAGGTTGTGCACCTGGAAAGTTCCTTTTAAATATTATTGCCAAAGGAGCTGTCTGTATGGTAGCGAAGATCCCAAAACAGGAGCTGAACAGCGCTCTTCCAGAACTGCAGAAACAATTGGGTTTATATATGTCGAAAGACTCATGTTTTGTTACAACTCTTTTCGGTGTATTTTACCCCCGAAGTCTGGATGCGGTTTTTCTGCTCTTTTAAAAGCCTGTTGGTGCCCCCAAGAGCAGTGCAGTCCTAGCAGCCTTCTCTCAGATCCACATCCTTTCTCTTCCTCCCCCAATTTAGACTTTCCACTGAAGGCACTTGTCCACGGTCCTCAGCGGCGCTGCTCTTAGCATGTTTGATGAGCATCACAGTAGGTCTCTGGTGGAAGGGCAGGGGATCCTGTGACACATCTCAGAAAGACTAGCTGTCAAGCACGGCCCCCCGCCAGCACCTTCCGTCTGGCTAGTGACGCCATTCAAATTTTAAACATCTAGATCCGTGCGAACTCTGACAAAGCACGTAGTTCTCAGTCATCACTGAGCAGCACGTGTTTAACTTACTGCTTATTGAAGCACTATGGGGATACATGAAGTAGAAAAGCTGGTACACCTAATGCTTGTGAACAAGGGTCACCACCGGTCGTGAGCTCCTCTCTAACCAAGGGAGAGTCTGTGACGCATCCTGTTTTTATTCGCTCCTTCCAGGTTGCCAAGTTTATTGGCTCTCCCCCCGGGTACGTTGGCCATGAAGAAGGCGGGCAGCTAACCAAGAAGCTCAAACAGTGCCCGAATGCAGTGGTCCTCTTTGACGAAGTCGACAAAGCCCATCCTGATGTCCTCACCATCATGCTGCAGCTGTTTGATGAAGTAAGTCTCCGTGTAGCTGCTCATGGCATGGCAGGGACTAGCACAAGGCGTCGAAAGCTTCAAGCGACATCTCGCTGTCTCAGGCTTGGAATCGCTAGTCAGCGAGCCAGCGAGCTGGCCCTTCCTCTAGTCTATGGATTTATAATATGCAACCATCAATCCTTTGGATCATCGTGGTGTACATATAAGAGGTCTAGTCAGGTGCCTGATGAATCCGCTTGTACAGAGTCCTGTGACCATCACACCAAGACCTGCAGCACATATGCCTAGGCAAGAGTACGGAGAAGTGGAGGCTGCCCAAGATGAACCATCCCTTTAGATCACTGAATCCAAAAGCCAGACCGAGTCCAGATGTTCAGTGCCTCAATAGCTGTAGCATCTGCCACACAGCAACAGATAAGAGCTGCTGCTGGCTGCCTAATGCCTCGGCGAGGGTGCATTTCTATCAGGATGATGTCCCTTAGCCTTTCTCCAGCCAAGGAGTACTCACAAGGCAGTGGGAGCTAGGGTTTTGAGGTGCCCTATACTCACCTTCCTCTGGAGGTTGTAAAGTTGTATTTTATAGGAGCTACCACGCCACGAATAGTCCTACCACATTGCCACCAGGCCTCCAATAGGATGCAGTTTTGCGGTTGTATCCAGGACCATCTATGAATTTAAGCCCTGAGGAACAGCCTAGTGCAGAGATAGAATGGCAGGAAAATGCACTGTCCAGTCAGAGGAGGGGAAAGCGGGTAAGCAGATGCTTAACAAGGCGGTTCAGAGGCACAAGACCCTACAGGTTGTACTGAGAAGTTAAAAAGGATCATGAATGATGACGGTACTGTCACGGTAGATGGTAGCAAGAATGGGAGCTGCTGTAAGGTGGGTGGTGAGGGTCAGTGAAAAAACGCTGAACCCCTCCTTGTCCGTTCCCCAAAACAGATGGAGTGAAATTAGGAAAGGGTCATCACCCATTAACATAGCATCCTCTTGATTAGCACCTGCGTTCCTCAGACGCACGGTGCTGTAGAGCCACTTGGCACAGAGAAACTCTGGGGAAGGAAAGGGCCTGTTGAATCTGGCCAGGCTCTCCCTGTAGTGGGTAAATCCACTGTGCTGTTATTTCTTTTGAAGTGCTTGCCTGCGTTCTGATTCAGCTGCATCACGGTGGTGATGGCTAAGGCTGCCTGTGATAGCACATCCTACAGCTTTCCCCATACACGAGACGCTTGCCTGGTCCTTGCTGCGTCAAGAGGGTAAGAAGCAGGGATCGGAGACTAGAGTCCCGAATAGCCTGGCATTGATCTTTACCCATCACCCGTATATGGCTGCACCTGTATGGCCTGATGGACAGACTGAGAAGTGCCTTTCATCTCCACAGCCTGCACAAGTGGAGCTGGGCAAGCATTTATTCTCCTCTGTGGTACATCAAGTGCACAACCTGTTGCGTGCTGTTCCCAAACCTGTCCTCCTCGGAGGCAAACTAACTCCAGCATCACGGCTGCTGGTTTATTTGTTTTTTTCTTTTAAGGATTAATAACGCAATTTTTTCTTGCATAGATCATCGCCGCAGCAGCTAAATGTGAAATCAATTCCTGCACCACGTGGTTGACAGGGCAATAACCTAAATGTTAATCTGAAGCACCCAACAAGGATTTGTGTCATTGTGCCAGGGAGCTGCTGCTGGAGACATAGCAGGGAATAAACATTGCCTTGGGACCTTGTTCTTTTTTCTTTCTCTCTTTTTCTGGCTTTATTACTGCAGAAAACGAGCGCTTGGAAAGGTTCCTTGCTTAGTGTTAGAAGCACCAATACAGAAGAGATCAGTGCTCTTGTCCACAACAGTCACTCCCACATATTGGGCAGGAGCACATGCCACGTTGCCCTGCGGGCAGCACGGTGTGGGTGAGAGGGGGCTGTGATTGCAGCCACACTTCCCAAGTTGATCTTCCTGAACGATCGTATGGCACTATAGATTGCTCTGGATCCTCCGCGTGGTTGCACCCTCAGCCTGTCCACACGTACCCCTGCTGCGGATGAGCAGTCTAGAGTCACGTAGAGACACATAGTTCTCTCTTCTGGCCCGTTTATCTCCATCACCCCCACCTACACTGGGTTGCCGGCTTGTTAATGGCAATCAGATTTATGTCAGCCTTTTCTAAGCCTTCTGCAGCCAGTTACTTCCTGCAAAGGCTGCTAAGGGTGGTTGGCCTATGGTAAGCACTCATACGTGAGGCCTTCTACATAACCATCTCCAAGCACTTTGCTGGTCTTGCGTCCCATCAATGCCTCTCTGACGGAAGTGGGTTGGCTGCATTGTGGGAACACAGAGAGGTTTGAAGTGACTTGCCTTACAGGCTTCTTTTATGGAGCATTAGGATTATCTCCCTCTTGGGAAGAAGGCCTTTCCGATCGGATGTATTTGGACCCTACCCTGCGGCTTTTGGCAGTCTGGTTCAGTGTCACCCACCACCCCACTGATGTTGTTCTTGTTGGCTAATGTTGTAGGGCAGGCTGACGGATGGGAAGGGGAAGACCATTGACTGCAAGGACGCCATCTTCATCATGACCTCCAACGTGGCGAGCGACGAGATCGCCCAGCATGCCCTGCAGCTCAGACAAGAGGCCCTGGAAATGAGCAAGAACAGGATCGCTGAAAACCTAGGTAATGACTGCCAGAACACACTCTGAATCCTGACACAGTACACCTTCTCTGTCACACTGCCCCTGCAGACCCCACCCAGGGAATCATGCTTTGTGTCACAGACAGAGCACCGTACTGGCAGGAGCTGGTCAGCACACGCCACGAGCCTCAGCTACTGGGACCTTCCAGGTAGCTCCTTAAGCAAAGTCAGGCCAGAAACTCCCTCTGAAACCAGGGGTGGATTCCAGCAAGCAAAACCACTCCAGCTCTACCTGAGCTCCACTGCAGCTGCTCTACAAAAACCATCCATTGCACTTTTAAATAGAGCACCTGCTGTTTTCCCTCTACATGCACTCCTCCTCCAGGGCCCCAGGCTACCTGGATCTGGAGCCTTACTTCCAGCCCTGCTTGTCCAGGATCCCCCTGTCCATGCTTCAGACTTGTTGGCTCCTCTTTTCCTCTGCACGAATCCTTAACTGGTCATTTTTCCAGGACTTTCGGTTGGGCCCTGCTTGGCACTGAGTGTGCTTTAATACTCAGTAAGCAGGTAGGTATTTAGGCATCCTTAATTCAAGGTGCATACTCTTCTACCTGAATAAGGTGACAACAGAAGGGTCTCTGTAGCTCCCAGTTACCAAGTCAAAAACCCAGTTCATGGACCAGCTGGAAGGTTCCTAAGGCAGTGGCAGTGAGGTGTGAGTGCCTAATACAGACAGGGGGCTTTGACACTGGCTTCTCTTCCCTGCTGCATACCCCAAAGCAAATAGTTTCTTGAGCTCAAGCAATTGTACCTTGTCTTGTGCTGGAAGCACCAGACCTATGCGCGAGCATCCTGCAAGAACATCTTCAAAGAGATTGAGGTGTCCCATGATCGCCTCTTGGAGAAACTGGCCAATTGTCGCCTTGGGTCCTCCACGATCCACTGGCTGGAAAATTGGCTCCGGGGTTGGACCCAGAGGGTAGTAATCGATGGAAGTCACTCATCGTGGTGTCCTGTGACCAGTGGGGTCCCCCAAGGCTCTGTCCTTGGACCCATACTGTTCAACA